CTGTTTTACCAAGAAAAGTATGAAACAAACGTATTACGTTTGCGCTTAAACCCAATCAAAACTATTTTAAATAAACTGCTGAATTTATGATTTGTGATGTCTCTTTTTTTTCTTTTATTTGTTAAACTGTTTTATTTGGTTCTTTTAAAGGTGTTTGTCTCATTTTGTTAAACTGTTTTTATACCTTGTTGTTTCTTTTAAAGATGTGCGTTTGTTTGTTTATAATACGTTTAAACTCTATCTCTCTACTGTGTCATGAAAGCGGGTAATAGGCCTGGTCATGTCTTTCGCAATAAATCATCATGAAAGAAGAGAGATGAAAAAATGTTCGTTTCATTTTCTCGCATGAGTAGACATGTTTTGCATATAGAACTCTGTATGTGTTACATGAAGAATTCTTATACGCTAGAGCTCTAATAGAGCTCGACCATTTAGTGCTTTTTCTTAACTAACTACTAACTAACTAAGATTGTTTATTCACGAAAAGTGAGAGTCATCAAAGGTCACCGACCTGTAGTAACAATGACTGAAGCCAAATAACACCAAAATAGTAATAAAAGAAATAACAAAATAAAGAAGACAACTAAGATTAGAACCAGAACTAGTAAAATAAAACAAAAAAATTTTAAAAAAATACAACAACAAAAATAGAACAAGCATAAATGCTTAACTGACAAGCGTTTCACTGGAAGAGATACTGAAGTAAGGCTGTCTTATCTCACATACAGGTTTTTGTATGAAAGATATAGAGTGTGCGCTTTTAATAAGAACAGCAAATAATTTAAAGCGTAATAAAATGGATATCTACAAGCGAGTTTTGAATATTTTTCAAAAGTTCTTCCACCAGTGTATAGCTGAGACTCTTCTGAACATGATGACAAAAAGAATTCTTATCTTATCATTTGAAATGAGCGAGTTTTTGGTCGTATAAAACCCTCATTCCCTTTTCTGTTCTAAATAGATACTATTTTTCTTAAGAATAATACGCTGTATTATACAGATCTAAGGAACACTCCTATTCAAATACACGTCCTTTTTATACGAACGGAGAAAAAAATCAAAATGCAGATGATCGTTGCTACGGTCAAAAGAAGAGACCTCTTCTATCGGTTCTATTCCAGAAAAAAAAGACGTTTGTTAAAAGTATTCGTTCTAAAGAACAAAATGCAGGAAGATAGTCTGAATTCTGAGAATCCAAAACAATGTAAATCAATCAAAGTGATCATATTAGCACTTTGTGTGCATTTGTGATCATTTTATGCTCCTTTGTGAGTCACAGTGACTCGCAAGTGTTTCCATTCAAACATGGCCGCAAAAAAGTAAAATATGTATTGCCGGCAAAATCTGACTGAGTTCTAATTTTGCCTGCAGAGCATTTTTTTCTAAGTTTTGTTAGAAATAATTTTAATGTCTTTTTAACAAATGTATTTTGTAGAACAAACATTTTTCTATAGAATGAGACGTTCCGCAGCTCTGAGTGAATCTTGATATCGGATGTATAGGAATTCTCCGGATACCCTAACACCACTTTTTAACTGGTGCACACCTTATTTCGTGCAGTCAAAAGCTATATGCTCTTATTTTAGTCAATGTAGTTAACAGAAAAGCATAGACAAAAGTTGTGAAATAGGGATATGAAAAGAGTATGAGATACTGATTTCAAATATCGTAAAAAGATATTGTAAACTTGCTCTAATTTAAATAAAAATTCTTTTGAAAAGTGATGAATTATTTTTGCAAAATGTTGTAAACTACGATACTCTACGAGAGTATATAAGAATACCGGTGTAACTCATAAACCAGGCTAGCCGGTTATATAAGTTACTTTCAAAAGTAGAAGAGAGCCATGTTACATTTTTTAAAAAATTTATTCATCCGCTTGAATCAGAAGCTGACAGCTTTTTATATTTTTCTATCTCATGAATGATCCAGTCAAAAGGGTATCAATTATTTTGATCACCAAAAAAACATACTTTTGATCACCAAAAGCTTTTAGATACAAATGATCACCAAAAACAGATACTTTTGATCACCAAACTCTTTTAGATACAAATGAGTCAATGCTGGGTGATTGGTCGAAGCATTGTGAAACCAATCCATTTTCTGTCTCTACGTCCATCACACCCGATTGCGAACTAGCTGGTTATAAATGGTCTACAACAATTGATCGTAACAGTATTCTTTACTGGTATGACGATTTTTATGTTGTACCATCATCTAACGCCCACAAAACACCGTCGACCTGGTTAGATCTTTATCGTTCTCGTCAGTGGCTTACGTTTAATGATTTTCTGATATGGCAACAATCCTGTTGGCTAGTTGCACCCTTAAAATCATGTAGCTGTCCCATTGGCATGAAACAATATTCATGTAAACATTCGGTTGGGTTGGCAATTTTATTTAACTTGTATCAAGTTAGCGATAAAACACGAATTCAACCATTAGGCAAACGGAAAACAAAAGGACGTCCTAAGAAAGTTAGCACAGCTTTAAAATTGTAAATAATATAAATAAAACT